CTCCTTTTCACATTTGATTTGCTGCTTCGCAAATTAAACCAAATCGAATTGTGTTGTGCGCACTTTAAATTATTAATTAATTTTTACACCTTTTTGAAAAAAGATGTTAAAATTACCTGTAAATTAAGACCCGCCCGGTCTACGGATTGACCTCTACTTTCAATGCTTGCACTAAAGATTACAAGGTTTTTTTTGGCCATATAGCTAACCCTAAAACTTTCTGTTTTAAAGCCCGCTACGATGGCCTACCCAACGCTGACCTTTTCCTGCAACCTGCCAACGGACCGCAACGCCCGTAATGTCGCTCCCACCATCAAGTTTGGAGCTGGATTTGAAGACCTCGAGGTTATCCTTGGGAAAGCACCCTTCGTGGTAATGAAGATCGCTGCCCCATAAGTTCAAGAGCCGTCTGTAGAATTTTGTTTGAGCTGCCTTCAAGACTTCCCTGCCTGCAAGAAGGCTAAAGCTGCTGTCATCAAGCCTGCTATCCCTGCTACTGCTAAGGGGAAGGAAGTGATGATTGTCAAAGATTTGACTGAATGATTAATTGTTCCGCCACCCGTGTTTGAGATCGGGTCAAGCTCAAGGACAGTACCACTGACACGAACTCAAAGGAGGAACTGCAATAGAAGAATTTGGAGGGCCATCAAAGCCCAGACTGCTGAGAGCACACCCGATGAGGAGGAGCCTCTTCAAGCTGAAGAAGTGTTACCAGAAATTTACCCACTCCTACGAGGGAGTAGATTCCATCCTCTGACAGATACTTGTGGATATGAGAGTATCCGGAAGATTGCTGCCGCATTACTATCACCTCATGAACATGGTGAGAAGGGAAAGAAATTCAGCCCCATCACCTGAGTTAGTGCAGTCTTCAGAAGGCTTGCCACTAAAGAAGGATGTTCTGTTAGTGAATTACTTAAACGAGTGGGTCATGCCATTTCCCCTCATATGAAGAATGAAATTTTGAAGGATATTAGGTCTGCTGGAAAATCACGTAGGTCGACTATAGAGTCACCTACCTGGGTTCCCGTCTAGCTCCGTGAGAAACTGAGTCGATACTGCTATGGTCACCACCAATCATACCACCACCAGGACCGCAGTTCTCCAGCCGATTAAGTCAAGACTGGGTCTTAGAAGTTTACCCGTTATTCCTGCAATCATGGAAAGAAAGACAAGATGATTACCTGACTCTGTAGCCGGTCTACACCACGTGATTTTGACTGCTTAAGATGTAATTAACTATAGGGGCTTATTCTTATAGGAGGATACGGACCTTAGAATAGGTACATCAAACAAAGTTCTCCGGTAGTTTGCTTTCATAAGATTTCTTTCTTAGTTTTTTCTTTAAAGCATACCAAGGTGACCTTAGTTTGGAGTTATGTTATAGAGCAATCAATGCAAAAATTTGCCTTATGAAGGCTTCTCATACATTTATGTTGTTTGTTTTCGTTATTACCTGCCCTAGTCCTCCAATTTCTCATTTCTTAGTTCATATGCATGATCTGGGACGAAGAATTGTTCTGAGAAAAGGGTAAAATAATGAAAAACAAACTAGTGACTCCTCAACAACAATGACGACATCAACAATTGATGTAATGAAGATCGGTGGCATGCAAAACGAGCGGCACCAGTAAGTAATAATGTTCCTTTGTCTAATTTTACTATTTTTGTAGAATTTTTTTTTAATTTGAATTAAAATGTATGGTCTTGAGATTTTTTGAAAATATGGATTGAGATTAAAGCATTAGCTGTCAATGAGCATATAAGAGAATGTGAATAAAATGATGTTACTTGTTCTATTGGAGAAAATAATAGAAGAGATGACTGTAGCCATGACCACCATGACCATTGTCTCAAGTACCAAAGTTAGCCTCTCAAGAAGTCAATCAACCGGAGATTATACACATCACAGCTGAAAGGAGGGAAGTTGCCTCGGCAAATAGAGATGAGCAACAAATGAAGGATTCTCCATCAAGTGCCATATCGTAAAAGGAATTTAACCAAAAGCTTGAGCAAGTTTGAGAGGCCTTGGCCTAATCTAATGGCGGTGCATCAATTTTAATGGGTAGACCTTACCCGGTGGAGTTTGATGTCGAGGAAAGAACAAGGTACTTTTAGTGTTTAATTTTCAAGATTATGCCTTTATGAGTCATTATTTTCTCAATTATTTTGTTATATTTTTTATATGAGGGTGATTGTTGAGCATGGGTAGCTTTTTGACAAGGTTTCTTCATAATTGTAGACAAAATTTTGAGGCAAAATTTTGTGTGAGATTGTGCATGATTTTGTGTCATTGATTATTTTATGCTCATCCTAGTTTAATTTTTCCTACAATTTTTTCAAATATAGATTGATTTATGTAACAATTCTCTATCATTAGATAGATCATTTGTTATTTTTGTTAGGGAATCTAGGTCATTGTGAACTGTAATTCCTAGTTTCATGCTCTTTCTGTCAGTGAATTTCTTGTTTCTAGAATAATGTCCTGATTTATTTTTCCCACTACTGAGCTTAATCTTGGATAACTCTATAATCTTCTTAATGTTGGTTTTTCCCCCTGCTGGGCTTCATATAACTCTACCTTTTTAAAAGAGAATGGATCTAATAAAACACAAATTGATTATTTTCTTATGAGAAAAGATCACCAAAAATGTAAAGATTGTAAGATCATTCCAAGTGAGAATTTAAGTACTCAATGATGATTATTAGTTCTAAAATTTAAGATGACGAGTTGTAAAATGAAGAATACTATAAATTATTGTCGTATAATTAGATGAAGGCATCTAAAAGACAAATAAAATTATTTTTATGAGTAAACTTCAGAATTTCAAGATTTGGGATATTCATGGAAAAGCAAATTTTATGTGAGATAAAGTAGCAAATACTATTAAACAAGTGGCAAAAGATATACTTGCAGAATCAAAAGAAAAAATTTTTATAAACAAAACTAGTTGGTGGTGGAATATTAATGTGTCAGAAAAGAAAAATATAAGAAGTTATGTTATAAAAATTTGTTTAAATGTAAAAGCATGGAGAACTGGGAAAAATATAAAATAACATGTAGAGAGTCTAAGAAAACAATCTGTTAAACTAAAAATTTTGTTTTTAGTGATCTTTATAATAGATTGGACATTAAAGAGGGTAAAAAATATATGTATAAACTAGTCAAACAGAGAGAAAAGAAAAACAAAGATTTAACTCAAGTAAAGTGTATTAAAGGTGAAAATCAAAAAAAAATTCTTAGAAAAAAGTATTCAACATAGGTGGATAAGTTATTTGGATAAACTTTTTAATAAAGTTTCTGAAAATACAATCGACCTTAGTGATCTTAAAATCGTTAATAATAATAAAATATTTTACTTTTACCATCATATTAGTAAAAAAGAAATTGATGAGGCTTTAAATAAAACGAAGGGTGGAAAGTCTATAGGATCTGATGATATCATAATTGAAGTGTGAAAATATATAGTAGATTTGAGAGTTTTTTGGCTTACTAAAATCTTTAACAATATTTTAAAAACTAAAAAAATGTCTGAAGAGTGGAAGAAGAGTATTTTGGTCCCCATTTTTAAGAATAAAGGGGATGCACAAGAGCGTGCAAATTATATAGGAATTAAGTTAGTGTCATACATTAAAATTGTGAGAGACTGAATGAACAAAAGTTCATACATGATACAAAGATTACTCACAATTAGTTTGGATTTATGTCAGGCAAGTCTACTATAGAAGTTATAAATTTATTGAGAGGTTTGATTGAGAAGTAAAAAGATAGTAAGGACAATCAACATATGATTTTTATTGATTTAGAAGAAGCTTACAATAAGATTCCAAGAAAAATTTTTTGAAGAGTTCTAGACAAGAAAGGCATAGATATGACTTATATTCAAGTTAATTAATATTTTTTTTTTTTTTTCAGTTGGATTACATTACGGACCGGCTTTAAGCCCATATTTTTTTATTTTAGTTAGTTATGCTCTTACTGAACATCTATAGGAATATGTACCTTAGTGTATACTTTATGTTGATGATATTCTTCTTATAGATAAGACTAGAAAAAAAGTTTAGGACAAAAATGAATTTATAAGTCTACATTAGAATCTTAAAAGACCTTCGTTTGAGTAGATCTATACCTGAATACATGGAATGTAATTTTATTTCTAATAGATTCACTGGCAAAGTTGTGGCTTTGAGTAGTCAAAACATTAAAATGTATGAACATTTTAGTTATCTTAGGTCTACTGTTCGAAGTGATAGTGATATATATCAAGATGTTTTTAGTAAAATTCAAGTGGGTTGGTTGAAGTTGAGGAATGCATCAGGCCTATTTTATGGTTGGAAGTACCACTTAGGCTAAAGAAAATTTATAAGATGGTTGTGAGACATGCAATGCATTTAAGGCGCAAAATGTTTGCTTGTATAAGAGAAGCATAAAATTAAGTTTAGTGTTGCCGAGATGAGAATACTTAGGTCAATGAGTGGCTTGACGCTTAGAAACTAAATGTTAAACGAATATATCTATGAAATGATTGGTGTAACTCCAATGGCAGGCAAGATTAGAAAGAGTCGTCTTTAATAGTTTGGTCATATTAAATGTTGATCATCTGATAATCGAGCTAAGAGAGTAGATGTTTAAGATTCGAATTTGTTAAGAAATGTAGTAGAAGACTTAAAATAACACTAGACATATTATATAAAAAAGGATCTTAATTTATTAGAATTAAATGAAAATATGATAGTAAATAGGACACAATAAAGAAAAAGAATGTAGCCAACCACGGTTACTGGAATAAAGGCTTGTTGTTGTTGTTGTTAAAAAGAATATGTCAAAACTATTTTAGAACGATTAAAAATTGCTTAACATAACAAAAATGAATTTAAACTAGTAGCTTATTCTTCAGAAAAATAAAATGAAAACCCCAAGATCAATTCAAAGTTTTAGCAGTGGTACTTTTACTTTGTTATTGCAACAAAACACTATTCTACTTCAAAACTCATGCTTCAAAAACAGCGTTAGGATTTAAAGAATAACAAGTGAATGGTCTGATTCTGTCTATTCAACCGAATGCACCACGAGATACTAAAAATTCACACTTGCACAAGTCTAACTTTACAAAAGACGAATGAAGAAAGCAATCATGGTTTTTGAATATTTTGCTAGTTTCTCGGCTTCCTGCTAAAAGAGTGCATGCGTTCATGCCACCTGTAACGTCACAACTATACAAGCTGAAGAACAGAACATATTTCAGTGGCCTCCATGTCGGTAAAGAAGAATTGATCGGTAGATAGCAGCAAGATGCAGAAAAGCAATCAGCAGAATGAGCAAATCGTCAAGAAAGCCGACCAGACCAAAAACTCCTGCTTAGGAAATATTCAATTGAATCAAAGATGATTAAATCTGATAAACAAATTTCGAAGTATCATTCAATAATCAGTTCTAACAGCCTCATCGGAATAGAAAAACAAAAAGAAAATTTAAGATTATGTGAAATTACCCTCTGGAATGATATCAATGGGGCTCAGGACATAGAGTATAGCCGGTATAATCTGCGGAACAAAGCAAAGATAAGTACGTTTAAGATGAGAAATATGGCAATATGCACAATCAGAGACTTCAAAGTTGTAGTATCTACAATAACTCTCAACTCTTTAATAAAAGGTTCGCCTTTGCCAAAGACATGTATGCTCATAATTGATAAATGTTTGAGACTACTTATCACATATAATCAACCAAAAAAAATTTCCAGCTTCTAAATGACGGTAACTATTCATGTAGGAAGCGAAGCAAATAAAAAAATTAACAAAAAAAAAAAAAGTCAACTGAAGGCAGTTCTGTCGAATCTAACGAGACAAATTTGCAAGCATAAAGGAGAAAAGTTATTCACCAACTAGAAGTCCAATGACATGTTTAATGCAGTACATGGAATTTGCACATATCATAAGAACTGTGGTATGGAGGTTGGCTCTATCACAAAGCTTGAGGCTGAGAAAAATCTCTGAGCAAGCTAGGCCTGGGCCCTGGGATTCAATTTGTGAATTATTTGAGTTCAGCTAATTCGAACTCAAAATTAATTCAATAAGTAAACTGCCATAAATCCTTTTAAGAAAATTTGATGTAAAGAGTTAAAATAGCTGTTGGAGGAAGGATCTAATGTATAGATACCTAGGGCATGAATGGAGATCACCTAGTCAATTAACCAAGTTTTTAATTAGATAGCATGCATGTTTTAAATTAGATAGCATGCCAAATGAATAAATACCATACATATGTGTGTGTGTGTGTGTGTGTGTGTGTGTGTGTGTGTGTGTGTGTGTGTGTGTGTGTGTGTGTGTGTGTGTGTGTGTGTGTGTGTGTGTATTAATTCAATCAAAACTTGAGAAAGCCACCTGAGTCTTTAAATGGACTAAAAATTGGGTCTAGCTATCTATATGCTAGAACTCAACTCAAATTCAATGAGGTTTGATTCCAATTCAACCAAAGCTGAGGAAATTTTGGTTTACGGATATTGATATTATCCGTGTCAAAGAATAAGCATGAAATTGAGTATCAATGATCTTTAAGATCTCAACCCACACCGAAGCAGATAACATTAATGCTAATAAGCTGTCCATTAAGAATGCAATTAAGGAATAAAAAAATGATTGCTTGAGATTTATGGTCTGTTTGGGGCAGCTGTTGATTATTTATAATGTGTTAATAAGCAGGATTGCTTGAGATTTATGGTCTGTTTGGGGCAGCTGCTGATTATTTATAATGTGTTAATAAGAAAATTATTCTGATAATCTGCAGCTTATCAAAATAATCTGGCTTGCTGTTTGGGGCAGCTTATTCAGATTAGTTTATTGGTAGTTAAATAACATTCCTGCCCCTGTAAAACTGTTTGGGGCAGCTTATTTATAATAGTTTATTGGTAGTACAGAAACATATAGTACAGAAGCATACAATCATCACAGATCAGTTCCAAAAGTGACATACAGTTCTCACACTCTCGTGAGTACCAGACGAAATAAAAAAGAGACAAAGACAAGTACAACTACAATAAGAAATATTAAAATATTTAATTTCAAACTCTGGCTATGCTTGTCCACAGCTGCACTATCAACATGGGAAAACATCGGATTCCCATGACTACTGGTAGTGTAATAGATGGGACTGTTAGCCCATCGGAAGAAACCACAACGAGCTGAAACACGCTTGGCACAATCGTAGAACTGCCTCCCAACGCTATGAGACTGACGCGATGTGAGCAACGGAGACGATAGTCCACAATAACACAAAATACCTCTGTTTGTAACTGATATCCTGAAAGTCATATTTGTATAACTGCGAGAAAAAAAAAAACGTATGTCAGAACTTATTCCCAAAAAACATAAAATCCACAAAAAGATTGATTTACATATATATGAAGAAAAGAAAGACTTGCTGGACTAGCTTTCATATATAGCATCTCCCTCAGAGCAGCCATCTCAACCACACCTTCCGTGTCATGAACTTCAAATTCATTAAATTCATTTTCATCCTCAGGAACTGAAAGCCCGATCATGATTTCTGATGGTTCTTCATTGACAGTCAGGTCTTCGTTATAAGCTATACTAAAGTCCGTATCTGAACGTGAAGGGTGTCGTCGTATGAAGTTATGAATTGTCATTGTTCCCACCACAATATGCACCTGCTTCTGAAATGGATATGACGGCATATCACATAGGTTTATCCATTTCTTCTTCCAACCCCCAAACGTTCTTTCAATTACCCCACGTAAAGAGTGGCTTTTGTTAAAAATTTCTTTCCTACCACGGATAGTGCCACTTGCTTGCTCAAAATCAGAAATCGATACCTAGTGTCTGGATATGGCTTCAGATAGCCCCTCTGCATAAGGTATCCAGCATCAATCAAATAGTGTTTTCCTGTTATGCAAGATATTGTTATTTGCAATAAATACCTATAGCTTGGAATTTTGTAAATCAAAACATACCTGAAGGCGGATGAGGAAAATCCTACGATCTATTTCTCGTAGCATAGGCGAAAATTCGACTATCATGTGCACTCCCTTCCCAGCCCGCCATAACAATGTGAAACGCATGTTGAAGTCACATACCGCCATGACATTTTGAGTAGTCGAATCACTTCGACCAATGTAAGCCACCTTGTCCTGACTGGGTATTCGAGCATCAATGTGAGTACCGTCAATTGCACCTATGCAGTTCTGTTTGACAAGGTTAGGAAATATTTATATGTTATTATGAAAGTAAATAAAAGAATGATTACCTTAAAGTAAGGCATGTAACGGGGATCGACTGCGATTTGTTCTGGAGGATTAGCAAATGATGGATCCTCTGGCCTGATAATTTTAGCGGCTAAGCTAACTAGAGCTTGTATGCCTTTAGAAAAATAACGGTTTATTGTCTCCGATGAATGTTGAAATATCTCCATAACACCCCTAATTGATTCATTCTGTGACAGAATATATAGCATTATAGCGTTAGCCAATACCTCCCTTCTCGTTGTTCTCGAAGAACCTTGGAGTTTGTGATTGAGGGATAACTCGTGCAAGAGATCCATAAAGATCGGTATTGTCATTCGAAATATGTTACCGAACCTAATCGGATGTCTAGAAAGCATTTCTCCAACTCATTTATCCCCAACAAAGCTGGAGGTCATTCAAGGTATACGAACAGTGCTTGATCGGTAAGACTCCAATAGTAATATGACAATAGCTGCAGCCCATGCCATTCTCTTACGATGTTCATGATGTGAACCGTTATGAAGTATCATCCTAAAGGAAGAAAAATCTCAGTTATTTCATCAATTATTAATCAATCCAGCAAGCAAGAAATAAATAATGAGAACACTAAGCTATTAAGAATAAAATAAAATGTAGAGCTCTACTAAAAGTAAATTTTAAAAAAGAAACACAACTTCAAATAACAAATGAGTTCAAAACTTTGAAGAGTACATAAGCATTTCTTGAAAACACATAAATGTCTCAATCATTCACAATAACACGTAAATATTCAACCCGCAACTCTGGTTCTCGCCATAAATATGTGTCTACGTGTTGGATCCTCGAGTTTTTTCATACATATTGCATGAAAGTGGTTATCCGCTACAACTTCAGGGATGGTTTTCAAAGTGCGAAGACAATCGAAGATAGTGTTGTCAGATAGTGGAGAAGGCGGTGGTGCTCCAAAAGCATTTATGAGTCTGTCAAAAAAAGTTCTCACAAAAGTATCATTTTCTTTCTTTCTTCTTCCTAGCCTGGGCATCTTCATCTACGAGCTTGATTCCCCCATCTCCCTCTGGTTAATACTGTGTATTTCTTCTTCAACTGCCACCGGCTCTGGTGGAAAATCATCGGGTATTCCTGCAAATCCCGTCTCACTAGGATTGAATGCATGTTTTCTTGTTGCCACCACCCCCTTAAACATTATGTCAAGTTTATCTTCAAGATCTGGATCAATTCCACTCTGCTTGTATTTTTTTGCTGTCGGCATTGCCTATAATAATAAAATGCAGCGGGTTTAGGGGGATAATCATTTTAATTGAAAATAAATGTAATTGACAAGTAATTAATAAGAATTTTACCTCTAATTTTTCGGCCCACCATTCATATAAAACATCAATTGTCCGTTTAATTGGATCCCAGCCCAACCCCGTAGATCCACGTTTCAGCTCCTTCCCTTTCAAAATTTTCACTTTCTTTAGTTGATAACATTTATTTTTAAACTTCAGTCTGTCATAATCTCTTTCAGTCAGTTCTTTAAACCTTTTAGCTATATTCAGTCAACCTTCCTTGTTGAAATAGGTCGTTGGCCTATTCCCGATCTCAATCTCAGTGATGCAGAGGTTACAGAAAATATCTGTAATTTTCTTATCCCACATCGCTGAGGGTTCTTGCATCGCTGACCACCTTCATTTGTCTTAGCCATTGTGGAACTTTATGAAGAATTGCATATTGCATACAGAAAATTCATATTGTAACTCAACAAGCATAAAAAAATTCTCCAAATTAACCAACAAGAGTTGAAAGATGTCTATGCCTTTATAAGAAAAAACATGAATCAATGAACCAACAACAGTGTCAAAATTTGCTAAAAAAAAATTAATAATAACACAAAGGAAATATGTAGTTCAGTCAAAGACCTACATCTACAGTAAGACATCGAATATGTTTTATTATCCAATTATGTAAAAGTACATAGCTATGATTCTGAATGGAGAACACTACAAATAAAGTACATGTGTAACAAGTAAACAATACACATCTTATATTTGATATGCAACTTCTCATACATGTCGTTGAATCCAATTTCACCGAAGCTATGATTATCTAAGATGCTCATATCGACAGTCATCATCATCACCATAATGTGTAGTAAACCGTAGCTCTAAAGACAGGCACAACTCGTAGCTCTAAAATATATATAGTATATATCCTCTCTACCCTCAACATCAAAGGAAGCTTGAAGACCCCGTAAAAATATACAATCCGATGCTCTAAACAATCATAACAGTATTTGCATCTCAAGCTTGAAGGCAGGCACAACTTGCATTGCATCTCAAGCTTGAAAACCCCGTAAATGGCATAAACAGTGAATAGTATTCTCATCATTTGCTAAACAGTGAATATTATTTGCATTGCAATTATTGTTTCTTCACCACAACCATTTTAATGAAACAAAAACTGTATCAACATTTCTATCTAATGCCACAACCATTTTAATGAATCAAAATATCTACTAAACAGTGAAACAAAAACCGTGATCAGTAAATCTAACTCATTATTGTTTGTCACGACAGAAACAAGGAAGAATGGAAGTTTGCCAATAACGGGTGATAGAAGAAGCAGGGTAAATAATTGCATCTCCATTCAGCCACCCCAAGCACACTTTTTTAGTTATTGTGGCCTATGAAGCTACATATCTTACCAATTTAATTGAAATTCAAAAGGCTAATGTTGTTGCTTCACTTGGGAGCCCATCTAGATATTGAGAGATTGGCCAACAGAAAAAGTAAAACCACTCTACTATGACCCAAGCCATGGGAATCAGAACACACATACTCCATAAAAATTGCATTTTTCTCAATTTCCATTAATTCAGAATATGCAATGGCGAAAAAATGCAACGCCCAAACTCCATTAATGTTGAGAATAAACCATTTCAACGAAATTCCATAACACCACCCATCCAAAATTTCGTTCAAAGCACCCATCCAAAATTCGTTCAATAAGAATCATTGTAACGAGAAATGTAATGCCCAAACTTTCATCCAAATTTCAACTCTAGCAAAAACTAAAAGAAAAACTGCATCGCACATGAACAGAGAAGGCTCGAAAGCAAAAGTGAAACAAAAACCGCATCCACATTCCAGATCTAGAGGCTCGAAAAGCTTTGAAACAAAATTGTCTCCAAAGTTCAGATCTAGCAAACCACCCATCCAATATTTCATAAGAACCTCCGAAACCAGCAATTGTGCATTCAAACAAGATGCAACGAGGCACAAATCAGGGGTCGAACAAGATCTAGCAAAATCAGAGAAGGATCGAAAACGATGGTGCATACCAGACGGAAAAGTAAGAGGGCGACGAGAGGGAGAGCAGAGAGTGGATTTCTTGCCAAATTTCTCAACGGCCGCGAGGAAGAAGCGAGGGCGAGGGGGACCGAATAGGGGCACGGGGCGTCTTTTTCACCCTAACGCACCAACTAAACGCAGGACGCGAAGGGAGGTCCCATTATTTCCCTACGCCTATTTGCCTCAATACCGCGTATCAGCGGTAATAAAACGCTCGAGCGAACGCGACATCCAAACGTCATTGCGGCGTTTTCAAAATGCCACCGCTCCCATTAAGCTGCCCCAAACAGGCACTTATACGAGTTAGATTACCTTTCATAATACGTTACTACTGCAAAACATTACGTTGATTTTAAGAAAAAAATTAGGCAACCCAACAATTTGGTGCACAAAAACATCTTTTAAAGTTATGCTCTTTTTTTCACTTCTAAAAATAGGATACTTGGTTTAACTAAAAAGAAAATCTAAGTCTCAAGCATCTCATGAGGTATGAATACTAAAAGATAGGAAGATACCAATAAAAACAATGCTCCCTCGCAAGTTATAGAATTTAAAGAAAAAAAAATCCATTATGAGATATTATGTAATGTGGTTACACATTATTGCATCAAAGGAGAATCACGAGATATTATGTATTGTGGAGTTGGTTTAGGAGTTCCATGTTTTAGTTAAAACAAAAAGATATTTAATAGCTATCATTTTTGTAATACGGGCTCTAATTTGAAACTTTTGAAACGCATAGCAAACCTGAAACCCTGCGGAATAGCCATATGTAACAAAAAACCCTCTCGTATTTACATCCCAAGTTTGTTATATGAAATAAATTCAAGTAGATGATACAGGATGCAAAAATCACCTTTCAAAAAATGAACTTTAAAAAAAGATATTGCATACAAATTAGCTCAATGTCAGTTAACCTAGAAGAAGTGCACAAACTAAAGCATGAACGTACTTTGTTTTATCCAGATATCCAAATAAACATTCATTGGCTATGGACTAACAAGTATAGGAATATAAATTTTCTGCACAAGTTATTCATTTTTTGTACTTAGCAAATGAAAAATAAATAGCATATAGACGTCAAAATAACTAGAAAATTCAAAATTTTGATCATGTAACAGTGTTTCTATAATCAAGAGCAGTAGGGCTACTTTCTTTTGTTTGAACTTACAGCTAAGATCATTCGAGCCCTGAAAACAAGTGGAAGTGATCTTTGAGGGTCCATCAGTTCCCTTAACAACCTTCGCGTAAAAAAAGGGAGATCCCTCAGTCTCTGCAATGAGAATGGCATATAATGATGCAATAAAAACGGAAAAGAGAGGAAATTCAATAATGAAAAACATTAAACGATCAGAAAGATTTAAAAAAAAAACATTAAATTCTGTCAAGAATTTGAAACTAACTCGATGCTGCCTTGAATTTTAAATAACTCAAAATCAATTTTTTTTTTACTAGAAGATGTCACACACACAAACAAACACACTATATATATATATATATATTGAAAAGGGCCCTTCTATTGATAAAAATCAGCTTACAATTCTAAAATGGGGAACATCAAGAAGGTCCCTAGAAAGCAAAAAAAGGAGAGGAGGGGGGGTGACGAGGAAACTGAAATAGAACTAGAGCATAAACCATATCTAGCAAGCCAGTTAGCAAGTTTGTTTCTTTCCAGGTAAAATGTGCATTGAGTTGTGAGCATAACAATCTAATTTTATGGATCCAGTGTGAATGATCCCATGGGACTGTCCCTCTGACTCCAACAAAGTAATCAACATGGTAGAGTCCACTTCCACCCACAAACTTGAAAAATTAACCTTAACAGCCAGCATGATAGCCCAATAAACAACTATAAGTTCAGTTTCCAGTGCATCTGAGGCAATTACAGGAGCATGGAAAAATAATATGCACTTTCCATAATGGTTTCTAAAGACCTCTCCCACACCAGCACCAAGCTCAAAGAAACTCCCATCAGTGTTTACTTTGATAGAGGAGAGTTCAAGAGGCCTCCAATACACTTTATAGATCAAAGGATGACCTGAATTCCCGGGGGGGGGGATGGAATTACAGATTTTAGGAAACCTCTTATGTTGTATCAGTTATTAGAGGAAAGTAGTACAGTTTCTCACCACCTAAGCAACAGAGGAAGATTTGCCCTCAAATTTAGCATGATTTCTGGCCATCCAAAGAACCAGGCAACCAGGAAAGGAATGGATTCATATTTTGTTGTGTGCCAGCTGTACCAACAGGACTGTAATTGATCCCATTGAAATTTAGATTCTAATAGTGTCAAGTGTTTAAACAATTCAGTCCAGACAGCCTGAGAGAAACTGCAGAGAAACTGGAGAAACTGCATTCAAAGAAGAGGTGAGGAATGGATTCCTCCTCCACCAAGCACATATGACATATAGAAGGGCCCCTCAATCCTTTCAGTTTGAGAATATCATCAGTTGGTAGTAACTTATGGAAGGTTCTCCAGCAGAAAAAAGACATTGATGGGGATAGGAATTTGTTCCAGATAGTGTCCCCCCAGGGCACCTGATCCCAACAAAAGAGTTTAGAGTAGACTGCTTTGGTGAGTCTTTGATTTGTGTGAACCTGCCAGATGATTTTATCAGGTCTACCCCTGTCAAACTGTAACTTAGATATGTGAGTAATAGATGGTTCCTAAAGTAGAGTAAACAATTTAGGGAGGGACCATTGGTTATCCTCCCAACATTCAGCCACTTTGAGTTGTAGGTAGAATGATTGGAACAAGGCATAAGTCACCCCTCAGGGCACCAGTGGTCCAACCAAAAACTTACCTCCCCATTCCCGAAGTCCCACAGGAATAAATCTTCAGCAATATGTCTGATTTTGAGCATGCTAACCCACATCCTGGAGTCTCCCAATTTCCTGACAGTAAGGGAAGGGTGTTGATCTTTGCAATACTTTCCAATCATAAATTTTGCCCATAAAAAAGATTGGGCCCTGAACTTGATCCAAATTTTACACAAATTATCTTGTAAGAGATGTTGCAGCCCTTTAAAACCAATACCTCCAGCCATAGTAGGTTTTGCCACCTTTTGCCAAAAGGCCCAATGTAATTGTTGTCTTTGTCCAAACCAGAGAAATCTATTAAGAGCCCTTTCCAATTGTATTTGAGTACTCTTCTTCAGATTAGTCATCTGTAGGATGAAAGAAGGGAAAGTTGTGAGTATACTCTTTAGCAAAGTAATTCTACCTCAATTAGATAGAAAGGACTGTGTCCAGCAGGAAAGGTAGTTGTGATTTTGTTCAAGACCTCATCAAATTGAACTTGCTTAGATCTGCCAGTAATGAGAAGGACTCCAAGGTATTTGATAGGGAGTTGAGAGCTAGAAAACCCTGTGTAATCATAAATCCATTGCTTGCAGTTGGGAGAGACTCCTTTGTGGAAGATTAGTTGACATTTGTCACGATTGAGAATCATCCCTGAGTGAGACTGGAACATTTGAAGACATTTAAATACTTTTTTGACGGCAGACTAGTGGGCCCTGGAGAACACCATAATATCATCAGCATATATAAGATGAGAAATGGCGAATTTAGATCTATGGTGATAGCAGGAGTAGTTGCGGGAGAGGAGGTTTAAGTTGAGTATTCTGGATAAGTAGTCTATGGCCAGAATGAAAACAGTGGGTGAGAGCGGATCCCCTTGTTTCAGCCCTCTACTGGCAGTAAAAGACCCCTTGGTTTGTCCATTAATGAGAATAGGGTGAGCATTGTTTGATAACTATCCATAGATGAGGGTACAGAAGTCTGCAGGAAAACCTCTGGCATAAAGGATGTCCATTATGAATTCCGAGCTTATGGTATCATAAGCCTTTCTGATATCTAGTTTGTAAATCAGATTGCCCTACAAGGCTTATCCAGATCCTAAACCAGCTCTTGTGCAAGAAGTACATTATCAGTTATAGATCTCCCTTTGACAAAGGTAGTTTGAATGGGGCTAATCAGGTTGTGAAGATGGGGTTGCAATCTTTTTACTATGATTTCGTTGATAATTTTGCTAATAACAGAAGTGAGGCAAATAGGCCTAAAGTGATCCCAGTTTTTTTGAACATCAGATTTAGGTATCAGTATAAAGATAGACTCACAGAAGTACTTAGGGAGGTTATGGCCTTGGAAGAAACTTCTCACAGCAGCAGTAACATCCATCTTAATGATATCCCATGATTTTTTATAGAAGCCTGCAGTGAAATCATCAGACCAAAAAGTTTCAGAATCGTCAATAGAATTTAAGGCCATCCATATCTTCTGGTCAAAAGGGGGATCAATTAACATAAGGTTTCTGCTATAAGATATGTCTTTCATGAAGTAGTTTTTAACAAAAGGTGACCTGTGACGTGAATCTTGATTTAGTTGTTTATGGTATGAGACTGCATCTCTAACAATTGCATCATTATCATTAAGCCAAACCCCTCAGCAGATTGGATAGAATGGATAGCGTTGCACTGTTGCACTTCCTTCCACTTCCTTCTGTACTTAATAAAGGCATGATAGAATTTAGTATTCCTGTCTCCTTCAGTGAAGATGTTAATAGAAGCCTTCTGTTTTAAGAACAGTTCTTAATAGTCTATTTTGTGCAATTAATAAACTTTTTTCTTCAGCAAATCCATTCTAGACAGCAAGTTCAAGTTTCTCTACTTCTTTTTCAGTAGTGCTAACAGAATTTAGAGCATTGCCAAAGGATGCCCAGCTCCATTTCCTGAGGGCTTTACCAACCTTGATCTGCAAGATGCTAAGTTTAACCAGTGGTTCAGAATGTATAACTCCACACAAATTAGAGGAGACAATGTTCAAAAAAGAATGATAAGTGGACCACATATTAAGGTATCTGAAAGGAGGGGGTTGCACAGAGTTATAAGAGGAGGTAATGGAGACCAGCAAAGATTTATGGTCAAAGCCAGCAAGGCTCAGATGAATTACATAAGTAAGCAGTAATTGAGAGTGTCATAGATCATTCACTAGAATTTTGTCCAATCTTTTGCAGAGATGTCCTCTCTTCCAAGTGAGAGCAGGTCCCTTGAAGCCCAGATTAAACAGACCTGCCAGTTGGATGTTATCACTAAAATGTGTCATTTTGGAGAGAGGAGTCCTGCCCCCAAATTTTTCAGCAGAAGAAGTTATGCAATTGAAATCTCCCCCCACCAGCCATGGGGAATGCATATGTTTACTTATATTGTGGAGGCAGTCCCAGAGTTCTCTTCTGTCCTCTTTTTTGCACCCATCATAAAAAAAAGAAGCATGACTAAAGTGGCCATTAATCTGAAAAGAGATATGCACAAATTGTTGGTGGTCCACCAGAACATTCCAAGAGGTTTACTTTCTACAAAACAGCCAGATTTTGTTATTATTGTTAGCATACTGAGAAAAACCAGTAAACTTATTGATAAGTCTTTGAGGATACTTATGAACCATAGGTTCAAAAACAGAAATGCACCAAAGCTGATATTTTTTGTTTAGGTGTAGAATTCTTTTGAGGGAGAGAGTGTGAGCAATTCCCCTATTATTCTATTCCAACATAGAAAATTAATCATCTTGTGGAGAGGGATAGAGGGAAGGTTGTGATCTGGATCTTGTTCTGCCTTTAGTATGTTTGGAGGGGGAACCAGCCTTCACATTTGTGCCTCCTCCAAGAACCTGAGGGATAAGCCCTTTTTGGAGTTTTTGTACTTCAGTGACTTGTTTCTTCTTCTTTTTTGTTGTGTAAATATGCCAATCCTCTTCCATGTTCTTCTGAATTTCTGCAATGGTGTCACTGGTAAGAATTGTTGGTAAAATGTTGGGATTGTTTGAAGGGCATACCACATCCACACTTCCGTCAAAAACAGGTTCAGATGAAGGTGGAGTGACTATCAAAACCTCATTTAATTCTTTCCTCACTGGTACCAAGGATAAGAATTTGAGGTAGTGGAAGAAGTAGGAGTAGTTCCTACAGTCTGGAAGTGTCTTGTACAAATGTGGTTATAGGGGGAAGTTCACCTACAACAGAGTGGACAGTATGCTGAGCTTGGAGAAACTCCTTCTGAGTTGTATGAGAATTTCTTTTGGAAGGGGGGTGAAGCCTATAACATTTGTCCAAAGTGTGCCCAAACATTTTGCAATGTTGACAATACTAAGGTTTTTGCTCCAACACCACTTCTTGCCAGAACCCATCCTGTTCAATCCCAATCCAAACTCTTTTCAATTCTGGGAGGGTGATATCCCTCTCTCAATGAGAATTCTAGCACATGCAGGTCTGGCTGTATT